TACAACATTGAAACCAAGTAGATATCTGCCTAGTAGATACCGACCTAGGTAGACTAGGTACCTTTTTATTGGTAACATGTTTGTAGGGACACAAGATTGAACACGGGGCGCGATGGCGAACTTTGATACATTTTTTTGTGTCAGCGCCGCTAAACAACTGCGAGTGTTAAAATATTAAATATTCTCGTGCCTCACCTATTAGAACCTATATCTGGTCAATATAGCTTCCTACTACCTAGGTAGGTAGGTATCTCGTAGACAACCAGCCAGAGTGGTATCAAAACACCCTCGGCTATCTCACCTCGCTTCCCCCCATACGTTAGCGGCCGTCGCGACCCGCCAGACAAGAGCACGCCTTAAAACCAACTTCTTTGCAAATTCATCCGTCCCCCTCCGGTGCCACACGTTTGACATAGATGAGTCCTTTGCTTTCCATCGTTTGCAGACCCAATCCACTACCCACAGGGTTTGTCCGCTTATCAACACGTGTGCCCTCGAACGTTTGTCTAAGCCAGCATCCGAATACCTACCGCATATTCTCGGTTCGAACCATGGCTTCCGCTGCTGCTAAGCGTCTGGCTGGTAAGACAATACTCATTACAGGCGCCTCATCAGGCATTGGGCGATCTACCGCTTTGGAATTCGCTCGCACTAGCCGAGACAATTTGCGCATCATCCTTACGGCTCGTCGCATTGACTCACTGAACGAACTGGCCTCTCAAATCACGCAAGAGGTCGGCCAGGGCGTCAAAGTACTCCCTGTGAAGCTTGATGTTAGCAATCCTGAAGATGTCCGTGGCTTCGTCGCAAATCTGCCTGAAGGATGGCGGGATATCAATATTCTCGTCAACAATGCGTAAGTGGCCTATGGCCTTGGTCACCCCTTCGTCAATCCGTGGTCCTGTGAAACGTATTTTCATGCACCATTATTATCACAGATAAGGCATACAGACCTAAACCCCCATATATATTAGTTTTCTATTGGACGAATGGCTAATGAAATTTGCGGATATCTGTGTAGCGGCCTTGTGAAAGGTGTCGCACGTGCCCCTGACATTAATGAGCAGGATGTAAATATCATGTTTGCAACCAATGTCACAGGGTTGATCAATATGACTCAAGCCATACTACCGATATTTCAACAGCGTGCCAATGGTGGACAGGGCGATATCATCAACGTAGGGTCCATTGCAGGACGTGAACCGTATCCTGGAGGCTCCATTTACTGCGCGACCAAGGCTGCAGTTCGTAGCTTCACCGAGAGCTTACGAAAGGAGCTTATCGCGACTCGCATCAGAGTTATTGAGATAGATCCCGGCCAGGTCGAGACGGTAAGTCCTCACGTATTGTGGAAATGCTTGAAATCTTCGGTCACTCATCAGAAGTCTTTGGCAGGAGTTTTCACTTGTCAGGTTTGATGGCGACAAGGCGAAAGCCGATGCAGTATATGCGTGAGTTACACCTTCTTGTCTATGACGAAAGAGTCTCTCACACTTAACTTTGCCATGGCAGTGGCTGCGAGCCTCTTACACCAGATGACATTGCAGAGGTGGTTGTTTTCACAGCCACACGCCGCGAAAACCTCGTTGTCGCTGACACTCTTGTGTTCCCCAATCATCAAGTAAGCCCCCATCACAATTGGCTTAAGCGATAAATACTGACATTGACTTCCTTTTCTTTTCGCCAGGCATCGGCTCTCATCTTCCATAGGAAAAATGAAAGAACCTAGGATATCGGCTAAAGCAGGTTATGAATCAGAGTAATAGAACACAAATATAGATGGACATTGAACGTTCTATAGCTAGGATCTCCAGAACTTGACAAAATTTCCGTGTGCTTGCGTCTAACTTGGGCAATATCATTTATTGTTGATAGCTGCTTGCTTGTCCACTCGTCATTTGGATTGGGTAACAGGACTCGACTGCAATCATTCGATTTATAGAGCATTTTAATTTATGTTCGAAAGTTTCTCTTGCTCCAAGCTCACGGCCGTTAAGGCGATAATCAAAAATGATCCGAGCTCGGGGCCTTCTACAATCAATGAAGTCCAATCTACCAGCGTTCCGTTAAGAATCCATTCTAGGTTGAATTAGATCCTTGCCATCACAAGTGATGGCACCGCTGGTTGTGTCAACAATGACGAGTTGCTTGTCATTAGGGCATGTCACGGTGGGCCTTTGATCAAAAGAACCTTAAGCTCAGGTGAGGGCGGAGGAGTCAAATACATCTGGAAAATAGTTTCATGCCCTCCTGATTGGGGGACGTCATGAATGTATGATCATAACATCATGAATAGTCGCCTGTAAAACCGGTAACTAAAACAAACAAGCCATATTGGGAACGCCGCGCTGAGAAAGTAGAGCAACATATTCGAAATCGCGGCAACGAAGTCGAGAACGCCAGCGAGAGTACACTAGTACAGGTGAATTTGAGGAGCCCTCAGTCCCCGGTGTGCTGGAAGAGTGGTGAAATCGACTCGCCGTAATGATTACGCCGAATAGCTTCCGACAAGAGGAATGACAAGTCCAGGACGACGAGCTTGTTGATATTCCTCGCCCGATCCTGATTAATAGGGAAGCTGTTTGTGACAAGTATCGTATCGATGCACTCGCATCCTTGGAGTTGTTCAAGACAGTCTGCGCCAAAAACACCATGTGTGGCGATACAGAAGACCTTTTTAGCACCTCCTTTCTTCACTACCGTCTCAGCTGCGGCAATCCAAGAGCCCGGTTTGTCTATCATATCGTCTACGATAAACACGGTGCGGTTCCTCACATTGCCCACCAAGGTAATCATGTGTTCGGCTTTGGTGTCTTGAAACGCGTTGTCCTCCTCGTCGGAACTTGCAGCTGGGTCGCCACCACCGCCTAGAATCTGTCCTTCTGGGACGAAAAAGGAGGAAGCGTGGGACATTGTCATGGGATCTTCCTCTTGTAAACTATTCCCGGCAGTCGATACGGCAGGAGAATTGAAGTCATCTTCTACAACATGACCTCTGATTAAACGGCCATGTATGACCTCTTGGGCCCGGCGGTCGTCAAAAACCTGCTCCTGGTTCAGGGGTAAATCAGGCGTACTGCGAGAGGCTAGGGAGCAGCCATCACTAGATGCCTTCTTCTGCCCCTCTGGTGGTGTCATCCTCGAATCACCACGACGGGTGGGAGAGCCAGTAGAATCAGCCAGAGGCGCCCGAGGTTTTTGCGTGGATTTATATCGTGCGTCGCCTGCCACGCCGTCTTCATTAGGAGGGGACAGGTCACTCCCCGCTGAGGTTTCAAGTGCAGACTGTCTATCAAGCCCATCAAGATGATTCATGATCATGCTTGCTGTCATATTGGTGCCTCTTCTTCGGTCGGTCGTTACCATTCCGAAATTGAGCTTCAAGGCATCAGCGAGTGAAGTAACTCGCTTGGTTCCTCCGGCATTCTTCGACACCACGACTGCTTCTCGCCAATTGTCAACATTGCGTCGAATCCATTTCGCAATTATAGGTTCGGCATGAAGATTGTCCACTGGACACTTGAAAAACCCTTGCATTTGTGAAGCATGTAAATCCACGGTAATCACATGCTTAACTCCAGCCACGCCAAGCAAGTTGGCAAGCATCCGGGCGGTGATGGCGCCACGATGGGCTTTCTTTTTCGATTGCCGGCTATATGGAAAGTATGGTAGAACAGCTAATACGTATTAGTCTGAGTGCCAGTTAGTCTCGGGGCTTGACCAACCTGTGATTTTGTTCGCGGATCCGCCTTTACAAGCTGAGATCATGATGAGCAATTCCATGATGGAATCATTAATTTTCGGGCTTCCTGACTGGACCACGAATACATCCTTCTCTCGCACGCTTGTCAAGATTCTGACACTTGTCTCCCCCTTGAACGTGTTAGCCGGCACCGGCACGTCTATAGGGAAGTCGTACAGTGGACGGGAAAAGCAAGAGCTATGGGAATCTCACATTGGAGAATTGTGTTAGTTCCGCATCAGCGGGAGTCATGCCAAGGTTCTCGCATATTTGACCAGTGAGGACTGGACACGAATTACCAGCGAAAATAAGTGTGTTGCGCATTGCTCGAAAGTACCTAGCCACTGCGGAGATGAAGGCAGGTAGGAGATGAGGTTCACGAGCCCAGGTTTTTTTTTTTTTTGTCGTCCCCAGGGCAAACCACTGTGGAATACAGTGCAAGCTGACATGGAGAACAAGTGGCGGAGTCGCGCACAGGGCTCTTCGGATGCACCTAGAGCGTACAGTGCGCAAGACAGTGCACCTCGGACGGCCCGCCAAATTTTCGTAGGTAACCAATGGCTGGCCAAAGTCGGACCGGTCTAGTTGCTACGTCTCGTCAAATCCACTACGTGAAAAGCCTAGTTCAGGTTAAAGCCTTCCAGCGCAGAGGATCAATGGATATATCATATCCCCAAGTACGATCTTAGGAGAATGAAGATTATTCTCAAGTACGACTGAATGAATGTGTCCGTCTATGCTTGGTCGGTGCGTGCCCTCGAGGCAAGGAGTAAACATTCATGTTCCTTACGCTGCGAAAGTTCAAATTGGTACAGATCGAACCAGATATGTCAATTTCCCGTAAGTCTACTAGGTATTCAACGCGCTTGCTATACGCTATTAAGTATCAGGTAGCTAGCAAACTACCACGCACGAGGTAGTGTTTATGAGGAATCTTGTGTATCTGGCATTCCAATGGAGTACTCCGAATTTGTATCTATAAATACTAACAACGTCTACTTAGATACCTACCTAGGTACCCAGGTAGGCTGTCGACCAACTGCGGACAAACAGAACTTGTGCAGCCAGACACATCATCTGACGTCTCACAAACCAAGCGAATACCTGTTCTTTGGATTTCCAGACCCCCTGCGTATAGATCCCATGAATACCTGCATCCAGGCAAGGGCCTAGTTAATCATCTGGGTACCTGTCCGTAAGCCGCTTGAGCGATATACGTTTGATACAAAGCATTAGTTCACTCACTACCATCTTCATAATGGGTATCTCGCACTTATATACTACTCTACGGCCACTAGCCACTTGGGCCGCTCTTGAAGATGAGGCTGTGGTCATAGATGGTCCTGCGCTTGCCTACCACAGTCTTCATATTTGTAGAGCAGGTGGTATCAGACAGCCATCATATGCTCTTCTCAATCGCGTCACTATATCTTGGCTCGAGTCGCTTTGCCGGCACAACGTGCTCATGTAAGTGAGTACCCGAGATGCATATTCCCCCCCAACTGGAACCGGTATATACTGTAGCGGCTGTCTGACTTACTTAAGCAGAAGAAAATTATATTTTGATGGCTTTCTACCTCGAGCAAAGCTACAAGTTCGCATGGGCAGGATGATGAGGGCTACTACGCGACTGAACCGCCTCTACGTCTCACACCTCCAGGGATGTCCAGTATCATACCTTGCATCGGATGATATTGAAGCAGATGTTGATATTTACAAATCAGGAGGGACGGATGTATGCCCTCTGACAGATCCTTGCTTTCTGGTGCCGGCCGTGTTGAATTGTCTCAGAGAATCTACTCAATACCGGAAGATAACGGAGGTTGTGCCAGGTGAAGCCGACCACTTTTGCGCAGCTAATGTCTCAAAGTACGGTGGTGTCTTGATCACGTCTGACTCTGATTTGCTTGTACACAATCTTGGAGAAGGACAAGTCGCTTTCTTCCGAGACTTACACGCCGAATCCGGACACTGCTTCAAGTTTCTAAGCTTTGCACCCAGGCAGATTTTTGACAAGGTTGGCTTGGCGTACCCCGAAAAAGCAATACAACTGGCATATGAACGCAAAATGGCCCCTCAGGCAACTCTTTCACGATTAATCGATATTTGCTCGAAACCAGCACCACTATCTGCTGATTATATTGAATTTGTAGAAAACTATACTACATCTGAGGAAGTTGTTCGCTTGCAAAAAGTTGGATTGGAAGTACTTAATCTGAACGATTTGGATCCCAGAGTGTCTGAGCTTGTCCTGGAATTTTACTCAAGACGCTCCGGCATGTCTATGAACTCCTCGATTAGGATGTTTCTGCCTCCGTTGACGGAATGTCCAGGTCTGAGAAGCGCCTGGGACAAAAGCACCCCAATACGTCAACTTGCATATTCTATTGGAAGCCATATTCTTCCTCGAAAAGACGGATGCCTTCAAGTTCGGGAATTTAGGCGGGTCGAGAGCATCTCGCATGCTGGTCGTCAAGTAAGGCTTTTGCCTACCAATCTCATGCGAGAGTATTTGGACGATATTTTATCATGCGCAGAGTGTTGCGAGGCTGATATCCAGCGTGATGGTATTAAATTTTGGGTTTTTTTTGGCAATGGCTCTGGACAAGATGGAATCCACTCGGAAAGGGGAAGAAACGCTCACGGAGACTATTGACAAATACTTTGTCGGCCTGACCGCAAAATCGGGGGATACCAGTGTGGCATGGGGTATTGTCCACGTTGCAGCACAGATGCAGGGGACGCTGTACTCACTTCGGGTCCTTCAGCAAACGTTACGCTCGGTATTCAGTCCCGAAATAGATGAAGCCCTTCCAGAGGTTACAGGACTATACACAATGCTGTCCGAACTGATACCCGTGGAACTCTACCCTTGTACAACTGATCTCCTTAGAATCGCACGAGAACTTCAGAAAAGCAGATCACTGTATGCCCTCGATGCATTTTTGACTAAGAAGTTCTGCGGGAATGAATCTCCTGACAACGAGGGTGAGGAGATCGAATCAACTCTGACTGATGACTCCGAGTCCGCTTTGTCTGCTAAGAGCGGCACAAACACGAACAACGATGAGAATAATCCTTTTAGTGTTTTGAGCTTGGAGGGTTAGAAGAAAGCTAGGTCAGTACGGATGGTCATAAAAGAACAAAAGATTGCTGCAAAACTTGAAAGCAATTCATCAGAGAGAGATTATATGAAGACGCGCGGTTGGTGTTTACGCACTCATAGACTACTAGTATTTTATCATCCCTTAAAGCTACCCTAATGTCAAGCGAATATGTTTATGTTAAACAGCCAACGAGGCTTTCTGAAGTCGCTTAGCGTAGAACAATTGAGGGCCACCATCTGCTCACGTTCTGTAGCCATCTAAGAGGATCCCCATTCCCAATACTGGGTGTCGCCGAAAACAGAAAGGCGCTGCATCCAAAGTGAATAAAATGAAACGAAAAAAGCTTTGCAATTGCAAGGCGCAATGTCTTATCCAAGCATTCTATACCTTGTATAATTTCGGGGTATATTCATACTGTAGCGGAATAATATTACTTTGAGATAAGGTAGCTCTAGGCAGGCAATGACTCAAAACTGGGCTTGCATCCATTGGTCTTGAGGACCATGAATATCTTCCAAGAGTCTCATGAAGGATTGGTGATCGTCCGTAGCTTCGGTGGCATCTTCTAGCAAGTTTTCGCTCCAGCCTTCGCACCCAGCTGTCTGAATAAGCCGCCAGGCTCGCCGAAATTCGTCGCGAATTGATACAATGCCACTGTGTGTCACAGTTCGAGCGACATTATGATCTAATTCGAAAGGATCCTCAATGGCAAGTAAATACCTGTGCCTGACTTCTCTCACTTGTCCGTGCTTTCTGTTCGTCACTGAAGGATGGGTTGTCTTCGGTCCAGCTGAGTCTGAGCACGCAGTCTTTGATGACAAAAGCTCTTCCCCGCAGTATTTCATCGCATCACCGGTAGGGATATGGCATTCATACACTGTTTTAGCCCCGGTCCAGCCCTTTTCTTGCTTCGTCACGAGGCCACCAAAGGTACGAATGCTAATTACGTCCCTTCTCCAACAGAATCCCTTGCCAAACCCGCGACTCAATGGCCCATTTTGAGCATAGTATTCGAAGAAACCTCGAAGCAGCTGGCCAATACTTTCGGTGTTTTGGTTGAGCTGGTGACCGCTTGCAAGATGCATGATTTCGTTCTCATTACGCCAGAACTCGACGTTATATCCCTGACACGTTGGCACATTCGGGCTGCTGGAAGGGGAAGAAAGTGTGGCCATGGGAGGGGTGAGCTGCTGGAGATTGGGGCACACAAATGGCTTTGCAATGTTGACAAGATAGTGCAACACCATTAACACATAGCCATAGCTTCCCAATGTGCCACGGTATCCAGAGTTTATCCCGCGAACTTTAGCCCACCTTTTGACGAACAAGACCATGGGTCGAACTCGGGAGTCTGTAAGGGAGTAGCAACGGAGCAGCAGAGTGTTTTGGAGAGCGAGGTGTGCCGAGAAATTGATATCACATTGAACTCCGACTCCACCAGATGGAAATTCCAGGGCATCTCGGTATTTGTTCCGTGATTGTTTGTCTGCCAACTTATGGGGATCCCGGAGGAGCCGTATAGAGGAAAGCAATGGCAACATAACCTGAGTTACTGGAATAATGAATCTAGCAATTTGCTGATCCCCAGTAACCTTGACCAGTGGCGTTCGCAATATTTTGATGTAGTCTTTGATAACTCCAGTAAGCCTTTCGTCATAAAAATTGTTATCAGTCGCCATTTCGAGTTTGTAGGCAAGATCTAAGCACTTGTGTTTCTGTCCCAGCTCCTCAAGATCCATCGGTTGCTGGGATTGATTTGAGAGACTCATCATTTCCCCACGAATTTTGTCGTCATTGATTCCTGCAATGTACCGCAGCGCAACCTCTTTCAGTGCTAAATCTGACGTGTTCATATCCATCTTGACAAGGCTATCTGCGATGACTCGTGCTCGGAGGTGATACGGTGCTGGGGATTCATGTACATCTTGCTTTAATCGACACAGCTGGACTAGTGGTAGCCGCTTCATCCTCTCGAATGCAAAATGCAGGTCTCGGTTATAAGCAAGGGGGTTAGCTCCAAAATCTGTTCTCTGCTGGATATCCCTCCAAGTACTCATGGCCTCCATAGACTGCGCATCTGAATCACAGATGAGCGTTTTCGAAGACCAATTTTCCCACATTAAACATATCTGCTCGCCTTCTGCCTGGTCACAAATCCCCGCAAGAGATCGATAGCCTGTCGCCGACCAAGATGTCCCGAACGACAATGAGGGACACGATTCCAATCGGCATCGAAGCTCCGGGTTGCATAATCCACGCACAAACGCTTGACAGACCTTTTTGAGAGTCACCCATTCCATATCAGAGAATTCATGATAATTGGATGCTGTAACATCACGACCCCCAGCTCTTCTCAATACCCTCTTAGCCAAGGCATAATGCATTCGAAGTGAGCTTTGAGAATTTTGTTTCAACTGGAAGCGCTCGTCTTCTCCACCATTATCCCTCGCCGGAGATCCAAACTCCACCGGTGGCGCAGACTCAGTCCCGTGGCTGCCCGTCGTCAGGTTGCCGGCATTCTCGTTAGCTTTTGAGTCTGGCTCATATTCCTCTGGGTCTTCTGAAGCATCTGCATCCCCTGTACCGTGTTCCCATTTCAGTCGTTCCAAAAGCAACGCGTGGCGTAGCTCTTCGGGTGGGTTTTCACACAGCTTGATAATTGGAACTCTTGTCCGACTGAGTAGCCTGGCGCCAAGTCCCGCGTCCAGGAATGCTTTCTCCAGCATCCGTGGTATCATCGACCCTGCCGCGTCCGGTTGCATGCTGGAAAAAGGAGAAAATAGTCCCAGGTCCATATCTGAGGCTTTTGTAGCGAATCCGGATGACAAACTTCCAAAGCATTTGAGCTCAACAGACGAACTTGGAAAGTAATGCGAGCCCATGGTGTTCTGTTCAAAATCAGAAATTGTTGTCTGACAAATTCTTTCAACCCTTTGTCTGAAGGTCTCTTTTTGAGCAATTTCATCTCTTTCTATTTCAGAACTGCGAACGACTTCGTGGCAAAGTCTATCAAGTAAAGCAGTTTGGGCAGCGACATCTTCCTGATCGAAATACTGTCGATGACTGGCATGGTGATGGGTTTGTACGTAATTGGGACTCTGAGGGGGAAATGATTGTTGGCGCCAGCTAGACGTCTGAGAACGCTCAATTTGAGGCCCGCAGAAGTCAGGCGATCCTGGAAACTGCGAAATAGTGCAATTATTTGCTTCTGCAATTCTTGGTCTCGGCTCTGGGCGAATACCTTGCTGCCTTATGTCGTTATTTGCATAAGAGTTATATGTGTTTCGATCTATACCGAGAGGACGGAAGACGCGGCTGCTATAGCTTGCGTCAGGCATCGCGGGTTTTTGATTCAAAGACTGCCATTGCGAAACCAAAGCAACAGAGAGCTCCGAACTCATTTGGCGTCTTTGAGCCTGGTTTGGACGCCTTTTTCCTGGTCTGGGAGACTGTGCATTATTTTGAGTGCCTAAATTCGTCGAAAGATTCGCAAATTGTTCAGACGGAGGGCGAGAGTGGGAGTGGGAAGGTATGCAAGATGTCTTTCCGGATGTGAGGCTCAACGCCTGAGGTTTCGGATCCGAGCTAGTACTTGGAGACACCTGATTGACAAGTATTAGCCCACGAAGACGATCCTCAAGTCCTAGTGGTCGTTCATCTCGATTAGCTTGCATGGCGATGGCTGTAGTTATTCATATAATGGCGTTTAGCTGAGCCTCTATGCAATTAAGTGGCGCCACTTCGGCTCGGGAACCTATACTGCTGACGTGTAAGCGACTGCAATCGCGAGAGAAATGAAAATAGGGTTCGCTCGGACCATCTTACAGGAGAAGAATCCCATGTAAGGGCGGCCGCAGTTCAAGAATTGCCGGGTGATGACGGGTCAGCTGGACGTCTGGTTGGAAATGCGTAAGAGAAGCACCAGTAATAAGATTGTGTTGAAGAACGCAACTTATTCCAAGTGTAAATCAGAGATAGATTTGAGATGGGAAGTCAATCATCGCCTATTCGTTGCCAAACCTGATAACCTTGCTGCGGTACATTTAGGCAATTTCAGGTCAGGACTCAAATAGATCTCGCCCGACGCTGTGTGTTGCAGTCGGCTCGGAAAGGTATTTATTTCTCTTGGCAAGACGAGTGGGGGCCAGTAGGTTGAAAATCAGTTACCAAGTGGCCATTCCTTGATGTATGTACAGTTATGATCAATTCAATGTGGGATGTTGACAAGAGCAGGGAGAGAAAATCAATTGAATACCACGATGCAGCAAGTGCAGTAGGCGGCAAGTTCAGCCAGGCAAGCTCTATTCTAGTTAGAGACTAGCGGCGCAAGGCGGGCTTCGGTACGCCTGGCCTGATCTACGCCTGGCCTGATCCACACCAGGCTGCTGCTAGGGGAGCGACGAGCAAACTGATTTGCACCAGACTGTAGCTGCCCAGCCGTGTCGTCGGGCTCCAAAATAGGTACACATGTGCTTGTTGACCCAACGGGCCACTTCGGGCTTCATATACTCCTATTATTAATATATTTAAGAAACTGGGGCGCTTCTGAAGCAGTTATAATGTGATTTCCAGCTTGCCTAAATGTCTTTGTACATATAGTACGTCTACTACGCGCGTGGGCCCTGGTTCTAGCAACAGCATAACTATTATAAGAAAAGCCTTAAATTATTATTATTTAATAAAAACCTTATATATTGAATAAGAACTTTAATAAGTTATCTTACAATAACTAATAAACTAGGAGACCATTACTAGCACCAGGGGCCGCGCGCGAAGGTGTATGTACCTAGGTATCTACTAGGCACTAAGCCCTGTAGGTTCATGTAGTACTAGCTTCCCATGGGTCATCTGGACCCACCGTTACCAGATCTAACTATTGGCTATTCCTGAGGCAGCAGTCCAAGTCGCGCCTAGTAGGCTCCGTGTTTCTTCCGATGCTTTCGACTGCGCAAGTGGGACCTATCGAGAGACCGATTTCAAATTTACCCTCATTGTTGTCC